CCATTAAATAGGTGAGTTTTCAATAAATTCACCTGAACAGACCAGACTCAGGAAAGACGCAAATTATGCCAATCTCTATTTATAAAAATCTCGATTCGTGAATTTTTTTTCATGGTATGAGTTAATTCAAAAGAGAGCATTTATGACTCAATTCAGATTTATATTAATATAAACAGTACTTTTAAGTCCGGGAAGTAGACCAGGGACTGACTTGAAATTCGGTAAACCTGTGGCTTTTTGTTAAAATTGGCCTGAACCCCTATTTGAAAGGTATACTCTTTCGTTAGAAATTTTACTAATGAAAGCACAAAAATGTTTTGTTGAGTACCATACTGAGCTGATCTTCAGCGTACAAATTACATTGCTTAGTAATAATAAATAGGGTTTTTTAGACGTATGGTTTCAATGCGGTAATACATTTTCCGGAGCTGTTATTTGCTTTTTATTTCATGTCAGAAACACACTCGGAGGGGTTGACAGTCCCTGCCTGCCGATGGGAGACCGCAATTAAAAAATTTAGCTTCATTTTTTATTTAAATTTTTTTTATATGATTTTTGGATGTTGGGCGCACAGAGATTTGAGCACGAGCCTTCCAAATGGCACTACGTATTTCCAAATTACTACCAAATTTAAGGGGCACACCTAGTGTGAAATTTAATAAAAAAAAACTTTTTTTCATATTTCAGTAGACTACACCTTTAAAAATCACATATTAAAATTCCAAATCGATAGCTCAAATAGTTTTTGAGTTATAGCAATTTAAAGAGCAGCCGCTCGACAGCTAGAGAGTCTCATTAGCTACGAGTGAAAACGATCATTTTATCTTTAAACGCGTTTTTCTCGAAACAGCATTTGCTGCAGTGATTACTTAAAAACAAATCATCCGATCACTATCGAATTTTTTTTACATGTTCTATATATAGTTCTGTACAATGACCTATCGATTTTTGATCTGATCAAAAAATCGAGTTTCGGCAAGCCAAAAACGACCAAAATTTTGTGTAAAATTCGACTATGTTTTTTAAACGCCACCATATTGTGAATTTTTGATTTTTTTTATCCTAGGTCATTGTACAGACAATATTATCTAGTAGAGAATTTTGTTTTTTTAGATTTCATTTACGGAGAAGGCCGGAATCACTGCTGCAGTGAAAGACCATTTTTTCGCGCCGTTCGAGATCGACTATAACTTACAAAATATTTAATGTTTTTCTTCAAAAGCTTCACCGTTTATTCTTGAAACACGTATAAATATATTCTTAAAGTTTTGAAATAATTGATGAAATATTAGTTTTCAGAAAAACTCCTAAAAATCGCCTTTTTTTAGGCCATTACACTAGGTGTGGAAAGAGGAAAGCCAGCAAAATAAAGGTCGTTGCACCAGTGCGACCATTAATATGCGATGCCACTTAACAACTTTTTAATTAAAAATAAGTGACCAAATAAAAGCATAATGTCCAATTAATAAAATAACTTGTAAGCTGTAAGTCGTCAAGATTCTTTCAAAATATAAAGTGTTAAAACCAAAACCTAATTTTTTTTTATCCCTATGGAATCAATTATTACATGCAAGAAATTAGAAATAACCGTGGACATTTTGGTCGCAGTTCTCAACAAAATAGGTGATTCTTAAACAACGCCTTCAAAAATTCTGGTCAGTAAACAACCGTGCCCATGGAAGTGGACAACATACAAATATATTTGGGTCTCTAGCCCATAACCTACCGATGACCTTCTCTTCTCTTTTATTAGCGTTGGCACCGCTCAGGCGTTTTTAGCTGAGTTAATTATAGTTCGCCATTCATCCGTTTTTTGCGCTGTTTGGCGCCAGATGGAAATAACAATTGAAGCCAGGTTGCACTCCACCTGACCCTTCCAACGGTGCCGGGGTCTTCCTTTTCCTCTGCTTCAACCGGTTGTTACTGTATCAAATGTTTTTAAAACTGGAGTGCTTTCATCCATTCGGACGACATGACTTCGCCAGCGTGGCCACTGTATCTGCATTCGCCAAACTATGACAATATCATCATTTGGTCGTACAGCTCATCGATCCATCGTCTGCGGTATTCGCCGTTGCCAATGCGTAATAGCTCGCAAAACTTCACAAAACTTTTCTATCGAAGACTTCCAAAGCCGACTCATCAGCTGCTGATATCGTCCACGCCTCTGCATTACATAGTAGGACGGGTATGATGAGCGACTCCTAGAGTTTGGTTTTCGTTCGCCGAAAGAGGACTTTAATTTTCAATTGCCTACTCAGTCCAAAGTAGCATCTGTTGGCAAGAAAGATTCTTCGCTGAATTTCAAGGCAGATGCTGCTTCCTAGATAGACGAAATTATCTACGACTTTAAAGTTATGACTGTCAACAGTGACGTGGGAGCTAAGTCCCGAATGCGATATCTATTTGTTTGATGGCAGAAAATATTTCGTCTTGTCCTCGTTCACTACCAGACCCATTCGTTTCGCTTCTTTATCAATCCGGGAAACAGCAGAACCAACTGCGCAGTTGTTGAGGCCGATAAAGTCAATATCATCGGCGTACACCAGTAACTGTTCACTCTTATAGAAGACTGTACCTTCTCTATTCAGCTCCTCCAGCATCAAATTGCATAAATCATATGACTAAGAGTCACCCTGTCTGAAACCCCGTTTGGTATCGAACGGCTCGGTGAGGTCCTTCTCAACTCTGACAGCGCTTTTGTGTTATCTAGCGGCAGTTTACGCAGCCGTAAAAGTTTTTCGGGGATACCGAATTCAGACAAAAAGGCGTATAGGTAGCTCCTTTTCCCGCTATCGAAGGCTGCTTTAAAATCTACGAAGAGATGGTGTGTGTCGATCCTCTTTTCACGGGTTTTTTTCCAAGATTTGGCGCATGGTGAATACCTGGTCAATGGTTGATTTATCAGGTCTAAAGCCCCAATGATTAGGTCCAACAAGTTTTTTGCCGGTGGATCTCGCGTTCACCATATCCAGGGGTTTCTTTTTCACTTCCGTTCGGCAGGCTAGAGAAGTGTTCCCTCTATAAATTCAGTACTCTCTGGACATCAGTTACGAGATCATACCGCGGTATATCACTAACTCCTTTCAAAGAATTTTGGGGCAATACTCTTGTCTTATACTCTCGCATCTTAGCCTCTTTTTTTGGTCTGTTCCTGCGCCTTGCTTGCCTTTTTAATTATGGGTGTCTATCACATCCTATACGATGGCTTTCTCTCCACTTTGGCGCGACTAATCTCATCATACCAGCCATTTTTACAACCTGTTTTGTATGCAGCTGCTCGTAGGGTTCATTGAAATTCGGTTCCACAGTATCACGGGCTCCGAGACGACAAACATAGTTTTCACATAGTGGCGGGGCAGCCCTCATCAGTACGTCCATAGCATTAATAAAAAAAGCTTGATCATATGGTCATATCGTCTTTCAGTGCCGTCGAAAATGAGTGCAACTCAGCTATATGCTCATCCATGTTCTCATACCATGAACCCGATACCTAATTTGCTGCTTAATATGGTTGCCGTAGTAAATGTCGGTCAATCTCATGAACTTCTTGGGCGGCAGTGATTTCAGCTGACGTCGAAAGCTAGCTAGTATTTTTTTGAAATTGAAGCGGTAAAATTGAGCCAGACAATGTTAAATGAATTTCTGAAATTTTTATTCTGCTATTTAAAGTTGAACTGTTTAATACTTTACAATCTTATGAATTATTATGTTCATATTAATGTACATAATCCACCTATTATTGCTAAACGATATCTCGCAAATTATTACATTAATTTATCTCTTGCATTTGCCCTTCTCTCTGTCTTAGGGATAAGCTAACGGATATAAAGACGAGTCCAAAATGGAAAAAGTTGGAAGAGTTTTCAAATAGGTGCTCACCATCGGATGTACTACACAATACGACAAAATCAAATTTTTTGAGTAAACATGAGAAATGTTAACAGAATATGAAAATAAGCTTAAAATAAAGAAATATGTACAAAACAAAAATGGTTTCGATTTGGACAATTCATCTTCTTTTATTTTTATTTTATTTTGTTTAATTGTATTTTTGTGTAAAAACGCTTTATTTAAAGCAAAAAAATGCGGTATTAGATGTCATTTATAACGTATGGCTCACATAAAAATTAGGAATAATGTATGTTTTGGGTGTGAATTAAAATATCGTACTGTTTATTCTTCTACTTCACTTTGTTAATTTATTTTTATTTTACTTTTGCAGGTAAGTTTTTTATTTACATTTTTTGTGGACTGTTTATTAATAAGATACTTGGTGCGGATGTTTAAGAGTTTGTGTCTATATCAGAGTGTGTGTTCGTGTTTCTAGGCTCTGCAGGGGAAACCAACTTGTTGCAAAAATTTGTCAGTTCTTGTTGTCCAAAATATAATCTAATGAAGAAGAGCTGTGAAGAAATTTTGACGGTCAGTAAAATACTCAATGTTTCAATTGAATTGTGCCTTTGACTCCTTTTTGAGGAAACAAAATGAAAATCTAATTATTGGCTGTACGAAAGTTAAACGAAACTGATTACTACAATGTATTTGTATATTAATTAATTGATTTAAATATAAATATTTCTAGCTCATTTCAAAATGTCGTCATAAAGAATAAAAAAATTACTACTACTTTTTACCCGTACTTAAAGGAATTTTAGACGTCACAAGAGTGACACGAGGTTTTGTGAGTTAAATTAAGTGCTCAAGTTAGAACGTCTAGAACGCTTTTCCAAATTAAGGCAAAACTTTTGTTGACTCAACTAATTACGAGCAGTAGCTAATATTTGAATTAAGTTACTTATTTAAAAATAATCTGAAGAATTTTTGTTCTTTGGTGAATTTCTATAGTCTTAGACACAGAGCAAAGTCCAGCTCATGGTGACTTGGTGTCAATGAAGAACAAAAAGTTCTGTACTTCGTGCGGACTACGCCCCCACTCAGATTGGCCCAACTGAAGACCGAACTATACCTAATTGGAACTATAACTTATTTGTACTCACCATCGCCAGCTAAGCTTTCTTGAGTGCTTTGGTTATCTTCTGAAAGTAATAAATAAAGTAACAAAAATATTAAAAGTGAATGTGACAAAATTTTTTGTCATCAACTTAATTTAAATGATCCAACATATTAAGAAATTTTTAATAGTATCTGCACAATCTTGCTGACCATAATATTTGTAATTTAAGAATGGAAAGAACATTTAGATATTTGGATGGCCTGCATATGAATACTCGTATTTGTACATATACATACACTGATGGAAAGAAATAAATTTTTAGGTTTGGTAGGAATTCAGTCCTAAGGAATACCAAAATATGTACTTTTAGTAGCTTGCGGGATTGGAATATTTCTTGGCTTGAGTGGTACCTTTTTGGCTTGAATTAACTTAAAAAAAAAAAAGAAACTGGTGGTGCAAGAAAGAATTTTTATTTTTTTCATATTTACAAAAAAGTAAACTGAAATAAAATCAAACAGTGAAAATAATAAAAGAAATGTGGCGAAAGCAATAGAAGTTAAGCACGAAAAAAAATATTAAAAAATTGGTATAACATACGCACATTTGCATGTATCTAACATTGTGAGACAATGCATCACCGCAAAGGACATCAACAAAGAGAATATCGTGCCACAGGAACTTGCCACAATCGCCACAAACAACACGGCAACATTACGACAAACAAACAAACACCAGAACAAAACAAAACAGACATACAAAATGGGAACTAAGACGGTTTTTGGCCAAACAGTAAGTAGGATTTCTTTTAATTTCCAAAATATGTATTTTTTTCAATGTATACCAGATATTAATAGAATATTTTTTATAAACGGAAGTCTCTTCTCGCCAAAATTAACTCATATCCGTAATTTTCTCTCTTTGTTAAATACATAATGGCGAAAATACAGCATGCCAACTTATATGTACTTATACCCAAATATATAATCGCAGTTTTCTTGCCTACTTACGGCACTGTGCAATCTTTTTATGCAAAAAATTCTAATCGTCAGCATTGTCAGCTGTTCAATCAAACAATAGCAGAAAATTAATAACGTGTGAGATATTCACCAATTTACTAACAGAGCGTAGCTTTTTTAAGAGCTTACTGTAATAATGTGATCTACTCACTGTTTTTTTCCAAATTTCGCTTTGTGCGACATTACAAGAGAAGCATATATTTTGTGTACGTTTATATTCTAAACATTGGGCACGCACGCGCACCAAATTACTCTTCGATCCTTTCATATTATTTTTCAGCATATTATTACTTTATTCGCTTCGTTGCGCGAGCAGCTGAGGTCAAAATATTGGCTAACATAAGTATACACACAAACGTATATACCAATATGGTCATGTATATTCAAACAGCTGTTGTATCTGTTTACGATTGTCATATGCATACGGACATCTCCATGCTAAATTTTTGACAACGAGATAACAGATCGTTTAAATAACCCAATAGGTAATTTTTCTGTCGGCTAATTTTTTAATTAAATAATAGATAATTTTAAACGAAATATATTATTTCGAAATATCAGTTAAACAATTTAATAATTTTATTTTATATTTACAAATTATATATAAATTACTTATAACATTTACTTTTTTTTACTATACATTGAAAAACGAAACGACAACAAGCTGTGATTTTAACAAAAAGAAATTTAATTTTCTGTGGCATAAAGTACATTATTTTCCGACAATCAAACACCCAGTGCGAACATTCGATATGCGTATAAACTCTATTAGAGTTTCACGATTTCATCTTGCGACTATTAAATACTTTTTTCTTTTTAAATGTCATGTCATGCCTAAGCTCTCCCGTGCACAAAAATTGTATCATGGAAGGCAAAGCTGGCTCAATCGTCAAACAATATCCATTGAAGTAAAAGTCCTACTCTCGCTGTGAAACGTACAAACCGAAAATAGTCAAGTTGCCATATACCAGCTAAAACCGAGATGGTAATAGGCAGTGACATACTTCTACAAATTTTCGTGGAAGGGTGAAACCACTTTGCAACACAGCACTTGTGTAAAACACAAGAAGAGTTAAGCATAATGTACTACAATGTTTTGCAAGAATATATTGACTTAGACTACATGGAGTTCACCTACTCGCGTGAAATAATCTCCAGTGGCAACTACCACTTGTTTTACTTGAAACATCAAGAGGTTGTAATACCGGATATAGTGACCACTAAAATTCGAGTGGTGTTTCACGCCTAAAAAAAATCGACATCAGGCAACTCTCCCAATTATCGAATTATATTCCGTAAATTGGCAGAATCTCCTTTCACCGATTACTGTCTGAAAACTGTTACATTTGGGGTCTAAAGTGCACAATACCTTGGCATTCATCAACTTGCAACGGATACTGAGGCAATATATCCACTGGCTGCACTAATAATACGAAACCAAATATATGTCGATCATATTCTATCAGGTGGTCATGACATAGACAGTGCTTCTGAATGACTTTTCCAATTGGTCAGAGCTCTGATGGCAAATAACTCCACTATACTGCAACAATATCCTAAAAAAGATCTGCTCGATTCAAACTTGCTGAAATTCAAGAGTGCTTCTAAAACCAAAACTCTGTGTATCTAATGGAACGCTCTAATAGACAAGTTTGCTTATAAGATTTTGCCAGCTACTTCAGCAAATGCGGTCACTAAGCGACACATTTTATCGTCGGTTGCAAAGCTTTTTGACCCGGCAGAATGACTGCTGCCAGTTATGATTCTAGCAAAAATTCTGTTGCAAGACCTCAGCCTAGGCGGCACTGATTTGGATGAATGTGCTAAGCCCACAGCTTTATCAAAATGGCACACCTTTGCAGAAAATCCGACTGCCATTTGTGCAATTGCAATATCACGCTGAGTAAATTTCGCTCCGGGACAGTACACTTAAATTCACGGGTTTTGCGAAGCTTCGGAGAAAGACTATTGAGCAACAATTTACATCCGCACACATGCTAACAATGAAAGTACGTCCACCCTTCTGGTTGGAAAAGGAAAGGTAGCACCTTTGAAAACGGTAAGTTTACCACGCTTAGAGCCGTACGGCACTTTACTATTAGCAAAACTGGTTGCGACCATTCAAAAACAACTCAATTTACAAGCGTGCAACATATTTCTATGGTCACATTCTGAGATCGTATTGGCATGGCTCGAGAAGCCACCATGCACATGGAAGATCTATGTATCAAACCGCACTTTTCAAAGTCGAGATCATGTTCCGAGCGGTACATGGCGTCATGTTGCAAGCGGAGATAACTCCGGTGATCTTGGCACCCTCGGCAGCAAACCGCAGGACTTAGCTGCCAATTCACTTTGGTAGCACGGACCGAAATGGCTATTTTGCCGCCTGGATTCTTGACCAATTCCAAAGGCCCTGACATAGTTGGCTTTTTGCTTAGATTGACAGGAAGACTAAAGCTCTCTCTGGGAAGTGGGCCTGACTTTCACCTGTTCAAAAAGTCTTATTAATTGTTCGATTTGGTTGAAATTTGATACATAATTGACTGTTTGCTTAAGTTAAAAGGAAGACAAGTGACTGACTCAATCAAAAAAATTGTATTTAATGCTCGATTTGCTTGAAAAACGGTACATTGTTAGCTTTTTGCTTAGAGTAACAGGAAGACTTCTCTTTTTTTCCATTTACAATATTTGAAATGAAATATGTAGATGGCTTCTTGCTACTAGGAAGACTACACGTCTGTCTCTCCAGAAAGTGGACCAGTGAATGAACTATTCAAAGAAAACTTATTTATGGTTCAATTTACTTGATATTATGGACAGCCATCTATTTTGTTTATTTTACTAGGAGGAATAAACTTCTCAGCAGAAAGTGGAAAAGAGACTGACCTCTTGCAAAAGTTTTATTTATGGCTCGAATAACTTGAAACTCTGTGCATATTAGGTTGCCCAAAAAGTAATTGCGGATTTTTTAAAAGAAAGTAAACTCATTTTTAATAAAACTTAGAATGAACTTTAATCAAATATATAATTGCCATTTTGTTCGATAACCTTTTGCCATCTTCCTGGCAAATTTAGTATTCCACGCTCATAGAACTTCTGGCCTTTATCTGCAAAAAACTGAACCAAGTGCGATTTTATAGCCCCATCATTGCCGAAAGTTTTACCATTTAAGGCGTTCTGCAAAGACCAAAATAAATGGTAGTCTGATGGTGCAAGGTCAGGGCTATATGGTGGATGCATCAAAAGTTCCCAAGCTCACTCAGTTTTTGGCGACTGACCAAAGATGTGTGCGGTCTAGCGTTGTCCTGGTGGAACATGACACCTTTACGATTGACCACTTCTGGTCGCTTCTCCTTGATGGCTGTATTCAAATTGTCCAATTGTTGACAGTAAACATCCCAATTAATCGTTTGGTTCCTTGGAAACAGCTCAAAATATACGACACCCTTCCAATCCCACCAAACAGACAGCATAACCTTCTTTTGGTGGATATCAGCCTTTGAAGTGGTTGGAGCTGCTTCACCATGCTTGGACCATGATCGTTTTCGACTAAAACAATCCATTTTTCATCTCCAGTTATGGTGATAATGAACGGTTGATTTTGGTTTGATTTAACTTCTCTCCTATCTCACGCTCAGTTACATGACGATCCAATTCGATTAATGCTTTGATTTGGTCATCATCAACTTCATTTGGCCGACCTGAACGTGGCTCATCTTTAAGTGAAAAATCTCCAGAACGGAATTCGCGAAACCAATTTTGACACTGTCTTCCTTTTAAGGCTTCATCACCATACACATCTCGTAACTTTTTAGCAACCTGCTCCGCGTTTTTTCCTTTACGGAAATAATAAAGTAAAATATGACGAAAATGCTCCCTTGTGGGCTCCATATTAAAATTGACGCCAAACAAACAAATTTAAACAAAATTTCGCGCTCTTTTTTTCTAAAGCAAGCTAAAAGTAACAGCTGATAACTGACAGAAGAAAGAATGCGATTACAGAGTCACAAGCCGTTGAAAAAATTTGTCAACGCCGACTATATGAAAAATCCGCAATTACTTT